CACACACACAGCAGTGTGGTGGAGAAACCATCTGAGACTACTCCTTAGTTGCATTAGAGACAGCTGCCCTGAGGTAAGAAAAGTGGCAGAAATTCTAACTTCAGTCTTGGTCCTTTTTGAAAGATAAGTTGCTCTGGTTCTTGGTTATATCAATTGTATCTGTGTCAAGAGATACTGTTCAAGTTTGTGAGTTAGTTGTCCTGCTCTAGGCAGGACTCGAATGTCTTTGATTTTGCCTCACTGGGTTTTTTTTTTTCTCTTTATTTGCAGGTAGTGAAATCAAAGTTATCCAAAGAATATCACTTCATTAAAATGAAACGATCAAGAAATCATGTTGTGGGAAGATACTTCAGCAATCAAAGCAAACTACAGCAAAGACAACAAGATTCTGTGACAAATTTTCAATCACCGTATCATGTCAGAGGTCCAGTTAATCAGGTTTGCTCTGAAATTCTTCTCAGCAGGATGTGTGCGAGTGAAAGAACCGTGTAGACTCTGAAGGACTGAATCTGGAATTGGAGATAAGCCACGCATCTGGATGATGGTCTAGGAACCAAATCCTGTACATCACGTGGGTTTTGGTTCCACTGCTCACGCTCAGGCACCCCGGCACACACATGTGCACCAAGGCACACTTAGCTGAAAAAGTAATAACACTTTTTTTTTCCCTACAGCTTTATAAAGTCAGGATGTGCACTTGGAAATCAGTTGGTTTCAAGATGAAAGAAAGAGCTAAAAGAAGGTGACTTGAAGTCTAACCATAAACTAGAACCTCTGAGGGCCGGCTAATGCATTGTGATAACAGAGACAAACAGACATTTAAATCATGTGGGAAAATAAGATAATGCTCTTGAGTATGTGTTATCATCTTTATCGGTACCTTAATATATGGAAAAGGGGGAAAAGAGTAATTACATTCCACCTGCAGGTAGGGATCTCGGTTATGCCCTTTGCCAGAAGAAGACACAGCATTTATGGCAGTTTAGGCTTTGTGAATCTAATGTTTATGACAACTGTTTCTTCCTGTCCTTTTAAAATCCTGTAACTGAAAGGGAAAGGACAGGAATGCTCCTCCAGGGGATTCTAAGATTCTACGAGAGAGATAGGAAATGTAATATTTTATATTTAAAACACCAATATATTTAAAACTTTGCACTCTGTACTTTTCATAAACATTCCCTCCTAGCCTGTCTGTGAACGTGGATGGGTAAATATAGTCTAAGTTGGTTAGTTATGTAATTTTCAAGTGAGAAACAAAATAGTTCCTTGTGGGTTATTTTCTTATGTTTCATTGATGATAATACTTAAGAAAGCTTTTGTTTGCAGTTAGAGCCCTATATAATTTAAGATTGCAATTATGTTTTATGTAAATATTTTGCAAAGGACTAAGCATTCTCAAGTGCATAGGCATTTATTTCCATGAAGCATTTGTATATGTCCACAATACTACTATGTTGCTAGTAACTATATTTTGATTTTCCTGAGCAACTGTAATCCAAATTTTAGAATAGACATAAAATTATTTTTTACAAGCCTGTGGTATACATATAAAACATACCTAATCTTGGTATTGAGAACTTTCTCTTCTTTAAGTTCTTTGTTGTACAATTGCTCTGTTGTGAGATAACATATTACAGTTACAATGTCTTTTAAAGGATTATTTTTCTTTGGGGGGAAAAAAAGCTGAGGGTTAATTTAATACTTGATTGAAATTACCAAATGTACAAATACCTCAATTTCATTACCATACAAAAAAATAAAACTGTTTTGATTGATCAGTTCCTTAGTATGAACATCCACCTCCTTTAAATCTCTATTTTTATACATATTTTATATGAAAGTAAACATGAATTTATATTTAACTGTCTTAAATTATATCTAAGCACAAGTATGACTTGATATAAACAATTCGTACCTGAATCTGACAATTTTTTTAAAGAATGGTACAGAATTAACTTTTAAAATGAAGGATTTTTCTAATATCTGCAGCTATATGCAAGCATCATTTTTAGGTTTTCAGTGATTTTTTTTAATGATATAAAAGTTTTCCAATTTACGTAGCTTATCCATCGTGTTAGAATATTACATACTCCAGAACAGAATTATAGTCAGTGGATGTTGCTTGTAACTTCCTGTCAACCTAACATAATGCCCTTCTGACTGAGAGGTTAGCCAGGCATTTATCTCTTTGCCATTGAAATAATAGTGGATTTTAGAAACAACTGTAATAATACTGTTAATAAATGTCTTCCTGGTAATAGTCTGTGTTCAGAGAGTGTATTTTATTTTCCTTTTTACTGAAGGTATATACCATACAAACAATGATCACCTGGCAGGGATATTATCCTGTGGATTCAACTACTAAAGTGTGGTTTTAATAAGGTAGCCATATAGTCCCTTCCAACCCTGACCCTCTCTAGATTTTGGTCAGATGAACTTCCTACGATACCAACACCTAAGCTTTTAAATGTAAGTGTAGTGACGAGGTTTGTTGTTGTTGTTGATTTTGGTGTCTGTTTGTTTGTTTGTTTGTTTAGACAAGGCACTGGAATGCTAGGAATCATTTTAGTTACTCCTTAATGGAGAAAACTACATTTTATGTTACGCTGCGGAAAAAGGAGTGTGTGTGTATTTGGATGTGTATTTGTACATGCTTTAAAAGTTCCTAATTTGAGTGGGGAAAAAAATAGAGCAGGCGTTTTAACATATTTTTAGATGTTAAAGGAAGTGTATTATTTTGGGTAAGAACTGATCAGTATCCAATCTAAACTAAACTATTTATAATATTACAAGTCAAGAATAACTGCATAAGCATTCTCAAGCGTCACTGTTGACATTGTGGGTGTGGGTGTGGGTGTGGGTGGGTGTACGCATTTAAAGACACAGTGTACTACAACAGTGATTCCCACTTAGAAAGCATTGAAAGAAATCACTGATTTTTGAGATGGAAATAATTCTGATAATGTTTACGGGGAAAAAAATAATGCTGTTCCATATCTGAAGTTTCTTCTTTTAGTTCCATTTCACTGCAGGACTCCAAGGAAAAAATACAGAAACTGGTCAAAAATTTTGTTTCTCAGTTAGTTATTTCAAAGCTGTAATGCTTTGGTGTGGTAGGAAGGGGGCGAATGGGGGTGGCTGGTGTATAATAAGTAATAAGGTTAAGAGCCTAGAGAGATGATCAGGGTTAGGATCTTATTAAATAATATCTTATGGGCTCCTTAATTTGAGCAAATACCAAAAGAACGCCAGTATCTAAAATTTTCCTCTGTGCATTTTCATCTTATGAAAAGAAAAAGTCAAAACATGTCAACAAAATCAGTGGCTAGGATTACTATATTTAAAATGAGCAAACATAACTTTGAGTAGGCTCATATGGGCTGATAACTTCAAAAACATGTGTCTAAGTACAAAATGATACTACACTGCCGTGGGTTCTGCCATGTTGACTGCATCAAGGAGTGACTGCTCTGTCAAAGCTGCTGGAG